ACGTTGTTCTCAGTATTTTCTTACTTTTCTGAACAATATTCCTCTTCAGTTGATCTAAATTAGTTGGATATTCTCGTAGACCACCTATTTGAGGTAGCCCCATAAGAAATTGTTAGCTTTAACTGTCTTCGCTTGCTCTCTTCCGTCCTCAAAAAAGTACAGTCCAATAATACCGCTTGACGTAATTCCAGCCCACACGACTAGTTTAGGGCTGTGAAGTGGACGTTCAAGCAAGCGTCATGGATTATTTTCGGACTAGAACCGACAATTTTGTTTGTTAACATGGCCATTGAGGTGAAAGTTGGCCTCATCACTAAACATCATGTTGTTAAAACTGTTGAATCGGTCGAGCATCAAAGTGAGAAAGTTAAGTCGGTTATTGGCATCATCTGGTTTTAATTCTTGGACTAGTTGAATCTTATAAGCCTTCAAATGCAAATCACGCTTCAAAATTCGCCGCAAGCTCGTTCTTTTGATGTCCAAAGGCTGACTTCTCTTACGTGTGGACTGTTGCGGATTTCGCTGAACTGAAACACGAACACGCTCTACATTGTCGGCGGATCTTGCAGAAACTGGACGATCACGAACTGTTATTGCTACTGTCGAGCCGGTTGTTTCAAACATTCTGATCCATTTCCGTATCACATTGGCGCTTGGAACTTCTCTTAAATCGCGTAAACCGTGTTCATGTCGTGTGGTGATAACCGATTTTTTGTTTTCATAATACGCTGCGCTCCCGCGTACGGCTCCATGGCGACTAAATTTCCAGGCAACGGCGCGGCTAACATCTATCCCGCGCCCCGCGTTTCAGAGAAATTTAAGATTTAAATCGCCAACACTCTTATAACCCTGTATAATAATGGCTGAGTAGAGTCCAACCAATAGATTTGTTACGACTATGGTGACTACACTGCTAATTTCTTATTGCACTGCAATTTACCGAGAATGAGCGAAGTTTTATGGAACAGAGTTATAAACAGGAACAATCCCACAATGGTTTATAATTGACCGTGCACAGTTTTACGATTAATTGCCAGATGCTGCTTGATCACCCATATAAAACCAATCTCACCCTTATTATATAAAAACAATACGGTGTTATTAATCAGCAACGCTTGCAATAAACTTCAGGTAATTGGCTATTATCTTTGCCATGTAACATGAAATAAACGTCAATGGAAGAGTATGACCAGCAATATATCTCCTTTATAACCGTTTCGTTTCTAATAAACACACAGTAACTTTTAACAGTCCAGTGATCATCAGTACCTCTATAGCTCGAAAAACTGCGAGCGGAAATCCAAATTCTTTAGCATGTAATAGATTAGTCTATTTCGGGCTTCTGCGCCCTTTGTAACACAACTTTATTTGACGATGTTTAACTTTATTCTGTCTAAAAAGGTATATTGATAGGTGCTGCAAGGTACCGCGGTCATTCCTGTACCTATCGCAGCATTTCCGGTGAATTATATTACTTGCAGTACCTAACAAGTTCCTAATAACAATATATTATACAGTATGATCTTGCCATACTACAAGCATTCATAACAGTTTTGCCAAAAAACCTAAGTCTGAGGCATTTTTCCGGACGGTAGTGCTTACCTGGGGATAGGTAGCCTTCAGATTTTCCGCCAGAAAAGAGCAACTCAACCACAGAAGTTAATCTGTCGGCATGTAACATGAATATTTTTCACATCAAAGCCTTGTGTAGGATACCAAATACACTGTTGAAGTATTCTAGATCGCAATATGAGAAGCTGGAGAACAAAACTTAATGCCAAATTATGCTGCTTATACGAGTGTATGTACGAGCCCATACCCACTTCAGTTGGCCCACTTCAAGATTTGTACCAAAATATGACTTTATGAACTAAACAAACTATTTACTTCTGAAACAATTTATTTTCTCAAAAACATTTTAGATACACGCTAGTCGTAAAAAATACATATTTGAAATCACTTAGATCTATAACTAACAGAACATCTGAACAAATAAACAATGTGCGAATAAATGCTCGAAGATAACAAAGCAACAATTGAAAGATTACCATTGGGTAACATCACCTTTATTTTTTATTACGGCTGAAATTCTTTGGGGCATACTGTTAACCAAATTTTGGCAAAAATTTGGTGTAACACAATCCCATATTTCTTGAAGCTTTTGTCTCAGTTCGGTGATTGTACGAGCAGGATGTTGTCGTAGAACCTTTTTCATCTCGTGCCACAAAGTTTCAATAAGTGACAGATCTGGACTGCTAGAAAACCATTTCAAAAGTGGTACATTAGTTTCTTCCATCCATTTGATGGCCTTTTTTGAGGTATGGCACGCTGCACCAACTTGCTGAAACACAAAATCTTGGCCGGATGACATTCTTCCATCACTGGTAAAAGCGATTCTTCTAAAATTGCCAAATATTTGTTTGTATCCACATTTCCATCAATAAAATGAAGTTTTCCTACCCCTTTTGATGACATACTGCCTCAGACGATAATGGATGATGGAAATTTCACTTTTCTCTTCAGACAGTCAACATGGAATGCTTCATTTTTTTGCGAATAACTCTACTGCGACTGTCACCAACACAAACTTCGAATCGGGCCTCATCACTCCATTGTATTTCACACCACTGTTGAGATGTCCATTGTCTATGTTCTTTAGCCCATCTAAGCCGATTTTTCTTTTGCAGTGGAGTTAATAGTGGCTTTTGTGCAACTTTAGGGTTTTTACTTCACTTTTTTTTGTAAGAAAACTTACCTTGCAAGTGCCAAATCCCAGTTTGTTGGCCTCTCTATGAGTTGTGGACCTCGAAATTCTCTTTCCAACAGCGTCACTCCACAGAACACTTGATTGTAAATAAAATTGGAACGCCTGTTTTACACGATTATTCTTCTTAATGCTCTTCGGTCGGCATTTGTGATATTACTTTTTTCACATATCGTGGCTTAATATTAACTGAACCAATTACGTTATATCTTCTAACAATATTTCTCACACTGTACCGCGATAAGTCTAACAAAGTTGCAATTTTTGAGTTTTATTTCCCAGAATTAAAAATTTTAATTATCAGTAACCGAATTTTCTCACTAATAACCTTTCCTCTACCCATTTTGAAAACCTTAACTACCCAAAACTATTTTAAACGTATTCTGACAGCTGTGATTAATAAAAACAATTGTCATGGCTTTTATTTTTCACAGCCACCTATGCGTTATAGACTTATTTTGCATTGAAATGAGAATAGGTTGATATGCTGTAATAGCAACATGTGTTATTTTTATTCTGCAAATATGATTAGGGAGTGATACAGTTGGTGTTTTCTACTATATATTATCAAAATATTCATTGTTACTATTTTAAACCTATAACACCCTGCTACATTTTTATTATTTGTGTTTGATAAGAAAAAAACTAAGATTTCAATAGTTGGGCCAACTGAAGTGGGAAGGGGTTCATAGTCTTTATTGATGATACAAGTAGCAAAAATGTCTTAGGAAGTACTTTAAAGCTAGCACAGACACAGGAATAGCAAGGAAGAGCATTCAGAAAGGTTGTCCTTAAAACCGAATAGGAAGAGATCAGCAAAACACGTGGCACGCTACTGCAGGCGCGGCGTCATTTTGAAAGGACAAACTCGGAGGCCAATTTTTCGTGATACTGCTAGAGCTCCACAGCGTACTTATCAAAGTATCTACAGCCTGCCAAATTTTGAAGCACATCGGCACACACAGTCAAGCGATATTTGGCATTCTTAACTACAACATTGAGGAGCAGCTAAAGTGCAAACATTGATAGGATATGCACATTGTCGAAGATTGGCGGATCCAAACCAACGACGCAACAGGTTCCAACTAACGATCGTTACGGCTTAGTCAAAATCCATCCCTGTGCGCTAGGTACAGAACAACCAGCACCCAGTAACTTTGCCTCTGTCCGCCTTTGGCGGCCTGTTCTCAGGAACTCTTCAACGACTGTCACTCTGGTTTACATAACCCAATTTGCAACAGAAAAGGAAGGGTTTTCACCAGCAGGGGCCGCACTGCCCTACACTAAGGAAAGAACGCCACGATTCTGTCAAAGTCTATGCTTGGTTCAGCTAATCTCTGCCTATTGTCACACTGGCCTACACAATTTAATTTCCAGGAAAGAATGAAAGGCCGTGAGGTAGCCCCGAAGCTACAGCGCGGTAATCAAACAGATCGTACGGCCCTGTTCAAGTTCGTCTCTCCAACAACCAGTAACTCTACCGCTCCCCGCCCTTGGCGAGTTAATCTCAGTTACTCTCCGTCGATTGTCAGTCGCCAACACAACTTAATTTCCAAGAGAAAAAGAAGGGTCATTATCGGGTCACAGGTTTCAAAAAGAGATCGACGTTTATGTGTGCTCTTGGCAGCCTGCAATCAAGTCAGAGCTGTCACCCTGACCTACACGATTCAATTTCCCGGAGAAAAGGAAGCGCCAAAAGTTAGCCAAGGCTATAGCGCGTCGGGGCCATAGCGCGCCAAAGGTGCGGTCTTATCCCAGTCAATCCTTACGCGGTTCGTAAACCACCAACAGCAAGAAACTCAGCTGCTGTCCTCCCCTAGCGACCCTCCCCAGGTACTCTTCTCCGGCTGTCAGTTTGGCCGACACAGCTTCATTCCAGATGAAAAGGAAGGTCCTTGACACAGCCGAGGCCACAACGCACCACAAGTTCCAGGAAGAAACCGTTAGGGCCCTGTTCAAGCCCGTCCCTGCACACATGGTACAGAACCACCAACACCCAGTAACTCTGCCGCTGCCTGAACCTGGCGGCTCAATCTCAAGTGCTTTCCGCCTTATACAACTTGATTTTCCAAGAGAGAGAAGGAAGAGCCTTGAACCAGTCGGAGCAGGTTCCAAAAGAGATCGTTCCGGCCCTGTTCAAGTCCATCCCTGTGCCCTTGGTACAGAACCACCAACACCCAGTAACTCTGTCGCTGCCCGCCCCTGGCAGCCTGCTCTGAGGTACTCTCCGCCGGCTGTCACTCTGGCCTACACAACTTAATTTCCAAGAGAAAAGAAAGGGCCTTGAGCCAGCCGGGGCCACACCATCATCCTCAACCAACGGCGACGCTGCTGCCGCCACCGCCGCGCCGCTCAAAGCTCAAACAACTTTTGCTGCGGTCAGATCGCGTCTGCCTTGCTCTGAGAGAGGACACGCGCGTTCGCGACTACGGTTGTTTTCACCACGTCGGCCAATCACAACAAACAGTGCATGCTCGGGTTTCGAACTTACCTCTGTGGATTGTTTTGAAACATTTGTGATGTGTAGGAATATGTAACAGACATTTGGAGTACTAACACACGTTGGATTTATCAAAAGTAAGTGACAGTTCTTGGGATTGTATACTGCCTCAAAGAAGGTGCACGTTGGGCGCCAGAAATGTTTAGATATGAACACAGAACTATTATACTTGATAGTGTGAAGCTTAATCAAGAAACATGTAGTGATACTTACTTAAGTACGCGTTTCCATTCAGCTTGAGACCAGTATGACAAGAAGCTTCACCGATGCTTGTTTATCATCCACATTAGGCTACATAAGACTGAAAGCCACTTCATATGATTGAGAAGCTTGTTTGAGAATCAATTATCCATACCTACTCAAGTACGCATTTTCAATAAGCTCTGGACACAGAGCTTTAGCGATGCATGCTTAACAACAAACGTTTATTACAAGTAACATCGTGTTAGGCGCCAATAATTGTTCAATATGAAGCTTGACCGACAACAATTAATCGCTACTCGCAGGTTATCATTAATGCCAGGACTGCAATTTGTTATAGCTACCTACTCCATGTGGGCGCCAATAAATCTGAAGACGCACGAGTAAAAGTACACCCCTACGTTGATTGCGAATAACCTTTGAATATGGACGCAAAACGTAGTAACCTAATTGAAAGAAAGAAGCTTGATTGGAGGTCGTTTATCGCAAGTTATCTACGATACAAGATCAAGACCTAAAGCTTTGGAAACGCAATGAGGCGCCAATAAATTTGATTACAGACGCAAAGGCTTTATTAGGAATCTATTATCGGTACCTGCTCAAGCACGGAACTTCCTCAAGTTTGAAGCTCCCAAAAAGGTGTTTTCACATCGGGCGCCAATAACTTCTGAATATGGACGCAAAAAGTAGTAAGATACTCTTATAATAACAATAATATATAATAATATATTTATTGCCCAACAGATATATCCATTTAAAGGACAATGTAATTGAATACAATTTAACGTTATAGTATTTTTAATTACAATCATAACTCGCCCAGTTTCTGAAAAAAAAAATGAATAAAAAAAAATGAATAGCTACACCTACGCACCTACATGTCTTAAATGTTATAAATTGAATAATAGTAGTCGCTGAATACAGCTAATATATCTTTGACTTTATCATGATGAATGTCACAATTATCAGCTATGGTGTTAAAGCTGGCGCACATAAAGTACACGGTTGACTTAATCATAACATTAGAATTTGGTGTTTTTAAGTAAAAAGCCAGACATCTTCGGAAAATGCGGGACGGTACATGAAAATCAATTTTAGCTAATAAAGCTGAAGAATCAACATCACTGTGTACGAGTTTGTAAAGGAATTTTAAACTATTACAAACTCTTCTCAGCTCAAGAGGATGTATTTCAAATCTGAGCAACATCGCTGATTGGGGAGTCCCTCGATTGGGATAAACACCATCTAATTTGAAAGTCAAGTATTTAAGAGATCTCCTCTGTACACTTTCAATTTCATTAGTATAGATTTGGTAATATGGATGCCATACACTAGATGCATATTCCACCTTAGAACGCACCAAGGTGCAGTACAAAGCCTTTAGTGACGTTTCACTACCAAACGATATACAGTTCTTATCAAAAAACCGAGAATTTTTATAGCGGATGATACTATTGTACTAATATGACCTGTAAATTCTAATTTAACATCAAACAATACACCTAGATCTCTTACTTCTGAATAACGCATCAAACTGACACCTTCCAGTGTGTAATCAAAAACTATTGGATTATATGAATTGGAATATATGATTCAGGTCAGCTTGCAAGATGCAATGCTGTTAATCTGAGCATATATTTTTAAATCATCGGCAAACAGCAGAGGACAGGTTAAGCAGTTAGGGAGATCATTGATAAAATAAAACAAGAGAAGAAGGCCTAAATTTGATCTCTGCAGTATACCGAATGAGGCCGAGTAAGGTGAAGATTTGAAACCATTTTAAGAAACGTACTGATTTCTATCATGCAAGTAAGAAGAAATGAAATCTAATAAATGATTCTAAAACCAACCAAAAATCTTATCTTGACAGCTTCATCAGCTCAACGTTGGGCACCAATATATCCTGAACATGAATACAAGAGGCAGTAAGCTACTTCAAATGAAGCTTGATTAACAGTCCCTAGTCGGTGTTTACCAAAGTACGCGTTTTCTTCAAGCTAAGCACGTTAAGCTTCGCCATTTCTTATCAATCCCCTCGACAAAATGGAGTTCGATTAGAGATCACTTATCATTACTCTAACAAAGGCTTGATCAATTTCAATATTCTCTCAAGTATTTCTTCTAACCAGCCCTACCTTGGGTACCAGGAGCTTTTGAATATGAATGTGAAAGCTATTAAACCACTTGAGGAATGCTGCTTGATTGAAAATTTATCTGTGCTTTATCAGACGCTTGGTTTCATTAGCGCCAAAACACAACGGCAAAGCAAGTCTGTGTCTGTGTCAATTGATCAGCAGTTGTCATCGCCAACAGTTAACTTGTTATTCAGTACGTTATGAACCCCCAATCATAAGTTAATTGTGGGTATCTAAATATATCTCGAGGTTGTGACTTCTAAAGTGCTACCAACAACAGCTGCTCTACAATACACATTCATTGAAACAAATTAAGCAATTACTTAGAATGACAATGCCGCTGCTCTTAATAATTGTTTTGAAACATCTTAATTCGTCAGATGCTGTCTTGATAATGTCGTGGTACATCTTGTTTTGTTATAATACGTTGTATTAATTTGTACTGGGATTGCATTTAAACACTGCGTTTACTACCGTTTAAGAATTGTAGTAACATCAAAAAGGAGTGTGCTTGCTTCTATTGCATCAATCTACATTGGATAACGATACATTTAAAATGGATGCGTGGCTGTTTGAGTATGTAGCGTTCAGAACATAGTAAAATCATGAATCATGAGCGCTTCTGAAATATGGAAATGAGTAGAAATCGAGATCCTTTTCAAGCAAGAGTAATTACACTGTTTATGTAGAAATTGAGTTGATAACAAGGACTAATGGGTATAGTCAACTTTTATACGTACCCTTTTTTTCTGTTTGAAATAAGAAATCTGGTGGTACACATAGAATGCTACGTTTGGTTGTAACCACTACAAACTTTACGCTTGCTAAAGTAATTCATTCTTCCAGTTGTGAAAAATATGCGCTAGATCCCGAAGACAAAGAACAGTTGATGAAAGCTCATAACTATAAATAAGGTTTTCTGAGATAACTCTCTTACTGCACAATGATGAAAGTCTATAGAAAGCCAGAAAAGTATTTTTGCCAAACTTAGAAAATCAAAAGAAAAACTCTAAAACAAAATTAATGGCCTTCTATGAGTTTTATACGTTACTAGGAACCGCCAAAAGCTTTGTATGGTAAAATGCATGCAAAACATTTCTACCAAATATCTAAGGGTCAAAAAACAGTAAATACGTGTTTAAAGCCTAAACACATGGACAATTTGTTTATAAGCTCGGTTATTGGCTATGATGAAAACCAAACTCATGAATATCAAAAAACAAAAAAGCTTCTTCGAAGATCAAAAACCAAAATTGAGTTCTCCTATTTTCTGCGTAACGTAACCAACAGTTTTTTAGGGCAAGAATTCTACAAAATATGTCTGCCCTACAGGAGACATATTGCCATGAGTGATCACCCTGTAACGCCTTACACGCGCCACATAGGCGCCATATAGGTCGATAGATATCCTAAACCGCATCCGCTAAAAATTAATCGCTGGCAAATAAAGTATAATCTGCAAACAACAAAAAGTTCGACCTGAAAAGCGTGAAAAACGTGGTTATGGTCACGGAAACAGAAAGCAGACATATTTTATTCAGCCAACAAAACAGCTGTAGTATGAAACCAAAACAGGCTGAAAGTTTGATCGAAGGTCTAAGGTTTCAAGAAATCGGTACTCACAAGGCGTTTCGCATATATGCCGTAAACTGATAGAACGAAAGTGAAGATAGTCATAGTTATCGAGCTTAGGAACAGTTGAAATAGCATTCGAAAGTTGTTAAGTCAGTAGCAGTGTACATATTGTCAAATATTTAATGTTGTAAGACAAATCTAGGATAACAGGATTAATGAGGAGGGGGAGGAATAACATTTTTTGGCTTTGGTATTTAGTTATTAACTGTAGTGCGACCAGTTTCAAAACTTGATGCCCATCTACAGGTTGTTGTTCCTTCAAAAATTCACTTCATAATTATGCATTGAAATTGACTTATTCCACTGTTAAAAAATAAAGCGATGTATATACGTGATTACTTTGGAGCAAAATAGAATCAGCATGGTGTTGTCTTGATCTCATATAGGATAACGAACGAAAGCTGAGCAACTATCCCCTATACAGAGTATGAGCTCTATCAAAATAAGTCAGCGCAAGGTGCGATCTATTACCAGAATCGACCACTGAGAAAGTGAAAACAGTATTTTATCTGTTGGTATTGTATTCCAGTTCGCTTTGTCTGGCGGGTCACCACTGTGGCCGCTAGATGCCGCCGATTCTGGTGCTAAAGTAAATACGGCCTACTCGCCATTGGTAGTGACCTCGGCTGACAATGCAACTTGTAGATTTCAAATATTCACTACAAAGCAGTTAATGTACGCAAAAACAAAGTCTGTGGTCAATCTACGATGCTTTGTAAAGATAAACTGTTTGAATATTCTAAACAACTCTTCTTCGCCATTGTTCTAATTATGAGAAAATTATTATATGCTACTTGAAGCTAACTTGTCCTAACAGTCATCCTAAATGCGGATAGTTTGAGAAATACATCAAATGTTATAATATCATACTCAGAAAACTTCATGAAGTAGATATTTTCTGGGCATTGTATCAATCGAATCTGACACATGCTGATGCTTCTGATGCTTTCAAATAAACAAAAACGAATCTCTCAAGGCAACAACTTTGAGCAAACTTCAAGCGTCTCTCAAAGTTTTCTCTGAGAAACGTTGCGTTGTAGTTTGCGGTCATCAGTTCTCACAGCTTAATTTTTCCACTAATCCTGATAATTACTTCCTTTTCTCGT